AGGAAGGGAAGGGAGGGAGCCGGGAGGGCCAAGGCCCACCTATCGTCGTCTCAGGTCGAAATGTACTGTAAGTTTAAATGTACATTTAATGAGCTAAATCGGCTGATAATAAATTTATCTAAAGAATGTGGAACTCAGTGGGCGAAGGGAGAGAGGAAGGGAGGGGGGGGGGGGGGGAAGTGGAGGTATGGCTCATTCAGTCCCCCCACCCTCTGGATCCGCCACTGACCTTCCTCGTTGTCACAAGTAGTCCCCCCCCCCCCTCTGAGTAGAGATCGCAGATTTCCGCGCGTGTGGCTTCCTTGTTAGAGTAGTTGATGCTATTAAATCTTCCTCGCGAGGAAAGAGAATAAAGGATAAATAAATAAAGGATAAAGAGTGAGAGTGCGAGAAGAACGAGAAGGGATAAGGATTTCCGGATTCGAGAAGGTGTTACAAATTCTGTATCATGTGCCACTGTGAGGTGGGAAAAATCGAGGGGAGAAGGTAAATACGGAATGTTGAGGTGCAAGAAAATGCAAACCCGACTCCTGGCTTCCGTAACGCTCTGACGATATACTGCTGAACCCAATCATGATGTTCAAGGGGACGAAATCTCCCGAGAAGGAAAATGAAATATCCCTAGTGTCACCGTCACAAGTGTCGCTACTATGGGCCGAAAATTCCTGATGATGAATAATTTCTGAAGAAGGCCAAATTTGAAGGAGAGCAGAGAGGTGGACTCCACAGACACTCACCCGATTAACGGCCATCAGTCACGATCAGTTGATATACCGTTAGAAGGGAGGAGGGAAACGAGATAAGTATCTGGCCCGTCAGGCGACTCAGGTCAATGTGAGGAACAGCGGGATTCGGGTGGGTTTCGAAACCGGTCAAGATACAGCATGGGCAAAAGGTCGAGATGAAGGTGAGCTGATGAGACCCCCGACAACGCGCACCACTTTCCTTTCTTCGGCATCGACATCATTCAAGAGTTGTTTTGTCTCTTGATCTGCCCACTCTTCACCAATTTCCGTCACACAGACAAAGAGACCCTAGAAGTTAATATGGATGTGTAAACTGTGATCAGACGGGATTGCCCATGCAGGTGGATGATTGTTGCCTGATCCTCGATAGAGACCCGAGGTGAAAGGAGGATTTCTGAGGCGGGAGGAAATTCCGCGAAGTTGCCCCTCGGCGACGACCCTGACGACCCTGGCCTACCGATCCACGCTTGGGATTGGCTCCTAGACTCACCCATAGGGCAAAAGTAGGAGAACTCGACGGAAAAGGTAAGAAGGGGAAAATTAACCGGAGAACGAAAAGGATGGGAATACCGATAATACAAAAAATGAGAGAAGCACAACCTCAAGGGCCAGTCCTCGCCGGTCCCCCACCCCCTTTTTTGGCTTTGCTATTTCACTCCTCCGCTTGCACTTCTCGATTACGTCTATGCACTAGTGAGATTCCTTACGCGGAACGAGTGTCAATACAGTCTGCTCGCCACACGGAAGGACTTCGCTCAACGAATAATAGCATTCGGATGAACGCGGAGGGTACAGCAGACAATTGCATCCCGTCATTAAAAATGTTTAAACGTTGAAATGTTGAGACATGGTCGAAGTCGAGAATTCAGCGAAGAATCAACATCGATGAAATTCCGGCTATTTGTAATTAACCGAATTTTCAGCATATTTCAGATTTCGTTAATCCATGAGTAGAAACTACTCATGGATTAACGAAATCGTTTGGAATCCATTAAGAGCAAATTCGTTTTTCACATTTGCCTTCATCATAGTCTCAATGTTGTTTCAACATTATCCGCATCATCTCGACAGAAAATAGGGTCTATCAATCGACACGAGATGGCGCCTAACTGCCGATTTAGCGATTCTCACACTGGTGCCCTGAAAAATAGTCCCATGTATTTTTCATGGAAAATCAGGGGGAAAAAACCAGGAACGTACACCCGAACTCTCCGTTAGACTCGTCATTTTCCTTATGAATCGTTTAACGATATCTCGACCAGTTTTACGGTACCGTAAGAAGTTTTCATCACAAAGATTGCCATAGATGACATGTTTCAGCCATGCAATTATACAGGTTAGTAAGTTATATAGGTTTAAACGAAAAGGGATAATAATGAAGAGACTTCCGGAAAAGGCGAAAAGGTGCTCTCTCCCTTGGAAGGATTCACCGTGTTTCTCCATCCAAATGCAGATGTCCTAAAAAAAAATGTGGAAAATTGTATTTGCATTAAAGAGCTCTTCTTCCAAATCGTACTCCATAGTGCCCCCCCCCCCCCCCCACATGAAGCCTTGGCTTATAATATGGTATCACCATGGCTTATTTTGACCAAATCAAGGTTTTTTTTTTTACCGTCGCCAATCAGGGTTATTCAATTCCACCCGTGTAAAGAGGCCAATAAAAACACTCAGGCTGGGATCTCACCCGGAAGTCGGCGAAGCAAAAGGAATTCAAGTGTTGAAAACTGTGTTCTGCTCTATCGAGGAGATACTTCAATTTCGGATTTTTCCTAGCCAGGGGTTCCAAGATGGGAAAGTACTCCCGATAAAACAAGGTCTTGGTCCATTTCAATTCCTCTTCAGACGAGGGACTGAAGAAGAAAGAGCTTAATGGAATGGAAGTGGCGGATGAGGAACGGAAAAGTGGCACCCTCAACTCGTCTCACCTGTCTGCGGTCGGCTGCTTCGACGGAGAATCGCAGCTGGATCGACGATGACTCCTTCTGTGGTCCGCCCTAGATGAAGGGTGCGAACCCATCCCCCGTTACCGGGAGACGCCTCGACTATTTCATCCCTGTCGCCATGGCAGCCCCAGACGGAATTTTCCGCGTCGACACTTGCTGCTTCGGATGCTACGACCTCAGGGTCGGCTCTTTTGTCATCGCCCTCGTCGATGCTGTCTGTTTCCCTCGTCGACTTCATCACGCTTCCACGACGATCGTCGATTGCAGGCGTAAGGACTTGACTTGGGTCTATCTTCCATTTAGGTGATTGCCGGGGCCCTCGTCTGGGAATGCGTCGACGTCTCGCACGAGGAAGCCAGTGAGTCCCCATCACATCATTTCATCGAAATTTAATAATACCGTGGGGAATATTTCGAACCCGTTGTCTTTCCAACCCCATTCGGCTTTCCGTCAGGGCTCAATCCTCCCCACGAGCGTAGGTCCTCTACGGACCCCTTATAGCTTTTATTCAAATTCGAAAACAAAAGCGTACGACTTCAAATGATGAACATTTCTTCAAGTTTCCTTCCGAACCTTGTGGATGCTTCTGGTGATTTTATTCGTCGTGAGCATCGCAGCGGACGCGGCCCTTGCCTATGGCGCTTGTCGGGTCGGTGCCCTACTACAGCTCCTACGGGGGAAAAGATTTTTCCCTTCCTAATAAGGACTTGGCTTTTCCATCGAACAGGAGATGCGTAATTACTTGAATCCGTACTTGGTTTTTGCCCTGTTGACGTGCATGGAAGTGCCGGGCTTCATCGCCCTGTTCCACATCCGACTTCCACATTCTGTGGAAGGAGTGAACACGTCCTGGTCCATGACTGACCCTCGTCTCGGCATCGACGATCATCAGGCGAAAGGATTCCATCGCGTCTTACCCTTCTACGTCACGCTCATCCTAACGCTTTGCCTCCGACTGTATTTCCTCGTCGTCGTCTCCTCTTTCGCCGCCGTAAAAGCTAACAGTTCCCCCTTTAACACACTGGACGCGGCAGTTTTTTCATAGCTGTCTCTTTGACGTCGAGGTCTTGGACCAGAGTCAGAGGGATCCAGATTACAAACCTCAGTTCAGGGAAGTGTCCATCGCCAGCATTTGTAGCATTTGTATGGCTAAATCCGGTCCTCGATTCCAGCAATTGCAAGACAGATTTCCTCCAGTCAAGGAAAGGAAAAGGAAAAAAGATTATCGACCTCCCGAATCGAGGCAAGTAGAATAAAATTTGAATTGTCGATACTCGGCCTCATGATGACCCAGGCCTATGATAAAATTCTCCCCTTATACACGAAAAAGGAGTGGAAGGAGCTGGGGATCTTTAAGGAACCCGCCGGGGCCATTGGCGTATTACGGGCTCCCACCACGAGCTCCCATTCCGGTTCGACCACTAAAACAAAGGTCTCCAATTTTGATTGAACAACAGGGTGGGAAACTACATACTCTCAAGCGCAAGATCCTACGAAGGAAATGATTTTTTCCTTTCGTGTTTCTTTTGTCTCTTCGATTGTCAAAAATGAACTCTCCCTTACACTCTCTTCTGATTTAAGCATTTCCTAGCAGTACGCGATATACACGTAATATCAGTCATACTAAAAGTTTGTAAATTCATGTACCTTCCTTTCTGGTGCTGAAATCCTACCAGCAAAGAGGGAGGGGGGGAGAACAGCTGGAATCTTGCAATTCCGCGACCGATCTCCACAGCATTCGTTCCCTATATATTCCACTTCCGATTCAAACTATCTTCAATTCCAAATCACGACCTGGTGAGTCACTAATCTGGCCCTGGTTGCCGTGGGTCATCATGGAATCTTCCATAGGAAGTTGGAACTGAGCGAGCAGGAACTCCCTCACCCTAGATATACGTAGGAGAGACACTACGCAGCTCAAATGTTCACTTCGGGGATACGTTGCCCGGGTACTCTTGACCACCGCGTGACACGTCACCTAGACATGAGAACTCTATCCCGAACTTCACCGGTGCTCAACACCTTTTGGAAAATCGATTTTTCCAAATCAAACAGAATTAAAGATAGCAGCCGCGTTACATCGAATTACGTACTTCCGAAAAATACCATTTGATATGTTTCTTGTATTATCTTGCGCACGAAATCACACTGTACAAGTAGACACCGGCCTGTATTTTTCGTTGATTTTGACCTTAAGTTTTTTTGCAATAGTTTTTTTTTTCATGGATAGAGACAGTGATACAGAAGAACTCCTTCGACGTAGGAATGGAGACTGGAACAACAGAAGACGGAAAAATGAAGTAGGCCTGCATCGTTATGTTCCCCTTTATTCATGTAGATTCTATACTGCATGTGAACGTGAATTGAGATTTTCCCACAGTCATCCAAACATGAAAAAGCAACCACTGAGATCACAGACATCGACGTCTTGCTATATGACGAATCCATCATTTCAATAAGAAACTGCAAAAAGTAAAGCATAGAGAGAATCTCAGCAACTTAGAGAGATTACGGATGAGAGGATAGGGAAAACGAAGACATAAATGCACTTACCTGTATGGATACCCGCCAGACTTGGAACGGAAGATGGAGAGAAGGAGTGAGAAAAAGAAGGCCATGAGCGCAAGACCGATGACAGCCTGAAGCTTCTTTTTCCCCACATCTGTCTTGCTTGTGTTGCTCCCAGACTCAATCATGAGGATCATTCCAAAGACAATAGCAGCATCTGACAATTCTATGCTAAGGACATTATTGAGTCGATATTTATCCCTGCATTCGTTCAACACGGACCAAGAAAGGCTAATTCCAATCTCAATTCACATCCTTGTCCAAATTCTGGAGAATCCCATGAGATTTGGATATTTTTTTGCTATCCAGCATATTTCCTCCAATTTTTCTTTCCATACACAGCCTGTAATCTGAGGAGTTAGTCTGATGAAATATAAAGACCATTTGAGCGCGAATTCAGTAGAGCACATTCGTTTAGGAAGCAAAGGATACATATTCCAATGACAATGTAGGTTTCCAGCACGAGCTGGCCCTGAGAGGAACCATAGATGTACCCGAAATTTCCCTGGTGGTTTCGATGGATGAAGGGTGGTGACCTGATATGGTTCCACATTTGACCTGATATCATGGCAAACATGAATCCCTGCAGAAAAACAAAAGGTAACCTGAATACTTTCATTTGGAAAAAAGGTAAGACTGACGAGAATGAAAGAATTCTCACCAGACACGCCAGACCCCACATGGTCTTGTTTGCCAAGAAGTCCAAGTTGTTCCTTCGCAAATACAACAGCCCAGCGACCAAGACAAAGAGAATGAGGATGGCAATGCTACCAGAGTAGTTAGGGGGCCGGAAGACCCGTATCTGCCGGGAGAAAGATAGAGATGAGCAAAAGATCCATTTGTCACCCTCACAATTGACATGGAAATGCTTTCATAGATAGGTCCAGAGCACCACACCTGAATCTCAGTTCTTTCGAGAATCCACTTTGCAACTGCCTCAGCAGACAGCCCATACATTCCGAAGTCCATAACATCACCTTTTTTCTGTTTCCCCTTTCCAGGGAAGTGCATAATCTGGGGGGCAGCATTAACTTTCATCTGGAAAGAGAAACATGCATCCATGTCTTTGAGAAATTCTGCCTCATCAAGTTGCTACGCAATATAGCATTAAAAAGAAAAAGAGAACCTAATCCATCTTCTCAGTGGATCCTTAGTAGTCATTAACCCCCATGACTATTGTTCTTTATTAGGGGCCTGGTTTTGACAAGTATATTCTTTCTATATTATTTCTATTGGCAGAGAGGGAATGCCCCCACCCCACACATCTTTCATTCACGTGCATGGCTTCAATTATACCCTCCCTTTTTCTTGCATAGGATTACACTCGATTCAATTCCAGTACAGCTTCACAATTCCCAATACATGAATCAGATTTATACACCTAACCTAACCTTACTTTTTCAAACTTCATATTTGAATGAGAACTGAAATTTTTACTTTGGCAATGTGCACCCTTCCAAATTATTTACATGCTATTGAATTCTGCATTTAGGCCAAACCTTTTTTTTTTTTTTTTTTAGCTAATTCCTTTGCTTTTTGCATATACTTTTTGTCTTTCTGTTGTAGTTTTCAAGGAGTGTTCATCATACTACTTTGATTCATCCATGAAGAGGTTGAGGTTAGAGTTTACTAGGGCAATTCCTCTTATTATACATGAGAAGTTTTCCAAAGAAGGAAGAGTCTTGAGAATTTCTGGCCATATAGTATAAGTATTTAAAAGAAAATTACATTTGTGAAGACTATTCCCAGTTCTTCGGTACAAAGGTACGAGAGTCTTGTTTTTTTAATAAGTGTATCACTAGTTCTGAAGAGCAGGACCAATCTGTTGCCTGAAGAATTTTCTTCACTTTTGAATGAAGGCTTTCAAATTTATTTCATGCATGTTGATATGCATGTCTTCAAGTTTCTAAATTGATAATCTACCATAAACAAAAACCTATTCAAAATTCATTTTGAGGTCAAAATGCTTTGAGCAAGCCTCCTACTTACTCTGTTCCACACTTGTGGGCTGGACATGAGGCATATTCCCTGAATAATGTCTTACAGACACCTAGAGCACCTTCTTTACATCTAACCCAATTTTTTTCCTTTTTACAACTTAGGATTACCAAGTAACTCAAACGTATGATCAGATTTAGACATCTAACAGACTAACGTTTTCAGTCTGCTCATGTTTGTTATAAATTGCATTTTTGAATTTCATGCATAGGGCACCCTTTAAAATGATACCAGACAAGGCAAAAAGAAGTGCCGCTTCAAATTTTTTGGTGTTTATAAGACAGTAGAAGCACAAAATTTTTTTCTTAATGACTTCTATCCTCCAAACATCATCATATTTTCATCCATTTTTCTCCAGCCACTTCATTACATGAGTGACTTTACAGAAGGATCTCAAATTTCATTTTTCTCACACTACACAACAATGTTCTTTGACCCTGCTGCACTGACTGGGAGTGATGAATCTTTTGAGGGCTTCTTTCTCTCTACAATTCAGAATTTGGTGAATAGATACTTGGATGATCCCTACATCTTTGGTAATTTGCAGCTGGAACTTTTGAGATCATCTGAAACAATGGCTTTTTGAAACATAAGAGCAGTTCTCTTCAGTTTAGGCTAGTTTTGGTCAACCACTCCTTCTCTTCCTCTCAAGATGAACCAGTTTCTTGCAGTTTGTGAATCAATCCACCACCATTTCTTTTATTCCTTACAGAAAATGTTTGCATGATTCTGGCCTTGACCCATTCTTTCCCAAAATAACAGCCTTTAACCACTGGTTTATTTTCTACAATAGTCCACTTTCGTGGACTGACTGAGAGGCAGTGGCCTGCCATTGGTGTGAACTACACAAACCAACCACTTTTCCTCATGCAAAATGAGAGTTTCATTTTTTAAATTTTACTAGAGGTGAGAATGTCCACATTTTCTTAAACAAAGTCAGCATTGATGAATCCCCATGCAAGCATTGCTAAATTTGTAATATAGGGATGCCTTTGAAAACATAGACATCATAGACCTCCCTTCAGCAAGCTGCAAAAAGGAAGTAGCTGCATATAATTAGTCATAAGATTGAAAAAGTATTCCATAGCCAATTCATTAATTGCATTTAGCATCAATGTACTTCCATTCAAGAAATTCTTCTTGTCAAATGAATGGTATGTGCCCTTAGATGGGTAGGGAGAAAAACATGCACTTGATCTTGATTTGCGGTGTCAACAGTGGGCAAACAGATCTCTTGAAATTGCCAAAGATACATGGATTGGTCAAAATGTTCTAAGCTTGAGGCACTTCCAGTAGCAATCTCCCTGGAGATCTTTCATAGAAGTATCAAGTCTTCCTCTATCCTCTTAGTTGCTGAAAGATCCACTCCTTAGAAGCTAGACAATTCATCACAGCATTCATGTCACTTTTTATACCCCTTCAGCAGACCCTTTGGTTGCACATTTAAAAAAATTCATAGAAGCTATCTTTAATTGACAAATGTGATGAAATTTTGCCAGTCACCATCAAAGACATCTAGCTTCTCATGATAAAAGTAAAAATGGTGCATTGCAACTGAAAATACCTCAGGCTTAGAACTTTTTGACCACCCCACATTACCTGAACCCTGATAATCAATGATAAAAATGTTTGAAAGAGATTCCTTACATATTGGAAAACATCTGAGGCCTCATCAAAATCCACAAGGCCAAAGAAGAGCTTGTTTGAGAATGACTGTGAGTACCGGAAAGAATTGGCAACTATCTGAAACTCATCAAAGGCTTGCCTAAAAAAAGAAAAAGAGAAAAACAAGATCAGTCATTAGCAGTCAGTAAGCAACACAAGCATTACACAAAGGTTGTCAACAGCTGATCTATTACTCAGGTTCAAATATTTTCTCTCAGAATGTCGATGTACTCTTATGTTTGATATCATACAAGTCACTGACCTCCAATTGTTTCAAGAGCCAGATATAATACAATGGCTACCAGGTACAAGGGTTCAAGTCCTATGAATGCATATTCACTCTGAAATCTGAGCTAACTCTGTCTTCCTCTCCATAATCTCATCTGAGATCCAGGTAACCTATAGCCTTTGAAGACTCTCTTTGGCTAGAGGGGTTACTACAGGGTTATGCTAACCAGGTCCAGCCTTCACAATTGCGTTTCTTCAGCATCCCATACCTTGAGCTGGGAGTTCCAACAGGATGGAGCTTACACTTATAAACAAATGTTTGACTTGATTGTTACAAATCTAGGTTCTTCTGCAGGGGAGATGAGCCCACTACCAGTTAAGCCACTCACTTGTCCCTATTATAAATATATCAACTGAGATTTGGGATATAGTTTAACACTAGGCCAATCCAAGCACCCAGGCTTAGGAGAGGGTCTCAGAAAGCTTGAATGGGTTAAATGTACTGTTTTGCAGAGAGCCACTTGGGGTACAGCATAATTAGAACACTCAACTCCCATAATTATGTGATTGCAGAATCATTTTATCACCAACCAAACATTGAAACTCACCGACAAATGGCACATTGCCTCTTGGAGGACAAGGCTGTAAACATTACGACCAGTGAGTAATTCCTAGGTACAGACTTGGCATAAAGCATGAACTTTTCTTTGTTCATTCTTGTGATGGATTTCTTCATGGCATTCTCAGTCAATTGCTGAACTCTCTCTCCCAGTGACTGGAATGAAAATGCAAGGAACATATAGGAAAAGAAAAACATGCAGCATGAATTTAAGGAAGGCTTACCTAACATCTACATTCCCCGACCAAACTCATAAGTTTTTGAATCAGAGCATTAAATATTATTCTACCTCATGGTTGGTGGTGGTTATCATTGCTTTAGTAGGCTACCCTAATATTCATCTATCACAAGGAATGAGTGCTGACAGGAGTCAATAAGTTAAATGTCAGATGGCTTCAAGACTTTTTCCTTGATTTTTGGCATCTCTAGTATCATTATACATATATATGTGGGAAAACAACTTCCCTGCGACCACAACTGTGCTGGCAACATAATCAGGCTTATACAGGCCTGCAACAGACCTGTAAGTGTGGAGTTTGATCTCCACCCATACTCTTATCCTCTCCTTTGGCCTATATCTAGACTTAAATAAGTTCCAAGGCTTCTCTTCTATAATTAACCTGAACTGAAATTATAGGTGTATCAACTCCCATAATAACTTTGTTCCTGAAACTGCAATCTTGTTACCCACATAAGAATGAATAATGAACTCCAGTAGCTGGCAACAGACAAATGTAAAATCCACTGGTCTGCAGTTCTTACAGTTATTGCAATATATAATATCTAAAGATAAAATATACATGCCAAAATTTGACCGGATTTAGCAACAATACTCCATCTGGGATTTGCATGAAACTCACTCTATACATTCAGCTGGATAACTACATGTGTGACAAATATCTTATTGGGGTAATATAATTTATTTGGAGATATGGACTGTTTTTCAATGAAAAATAAAACATGTCAGCTAAGGTGCCATTTCCCCTGGCCAATGAAACTTGATATATTCAAAGAAATTTTTGCTTTATATAAATGCTATGGTCGTGTATAGGTGAATCGCTACTGGTTTTACGTAATGATGGGTGTAGGAGGAGTACTGATGTCAGTAACATGCTACAGATGTTGCCACAGGGCCTGCACACTGTATTCAATGAAGGCAAATAGAGATGGTAACTGGGCACAACTGGAGGTCCAGTTATGAGTAACCAGTTCAGTGTCAAAGGTCAAAGAGAGAGAAAGTCAACCTATTTCAGAGGATGATGGGTCAGTTGGGTAAGATGAGGGTTGTGGCCAAAGGCCGTGATTATTTGTAATCATGTAGGGTCTCCCTGGCCTTTGTCAGCAAATTAATTCCTATCGTCAAAAATGTTTTATATCTAATCTAATCATGACAATCTGACAAGGATGCCATGAGTCTTCCCTTCAGCAGTACATGGAGGTCAACAAATAAGCCAACAGGAAGGCAAACAGACTTGTTATTCTACCCAGTGAATCCTCTTCAGACATCAGATGAGTGAAACGCTTCAACATTTTATACTAACCATTCCTGCCATCCTTGTGAATAAAAACTGCCTGTAATAATCCTGTTTTTCTAAGTCGTAGATTAGGGAAGGAGGTGTCAGCGAGCTGACATTTTATGATCTCTAATGAGGTAACCTGTCAAATTCGTCGAGCAACTAGCCAAATTTTCAGCGATTCGACTCTATTGGAGGCGTTGTGTTTCGGGCCTAGGCCCTAGGCCCACGTGTAGGACACCTTAAACCTACTACTTCTATTCTTATTTAGCATGTCCATTCCTAGGTGGTATCCGTGCGCATATCTCTCAGGTGTCTTTAACTAATTTCATCAGTCTATTCCTTGCAATCGAAAACTTTCACACCTGCCCAACACAGGGAGAAGCGCCGGTGAAAAACGCTTTCCATGAAGACTTCGCAGTGCGATAAATATTTGGTGTAATAAATATTGCTGCGATGATATGGCTGAATGCGATAAGTACTTCCCCGGAAGACTCACATCTTTCTTCTTGGTCTGGGCAGAAGCCAATATCGCCGGGAAAGCAACGAGACAAAAGCATACCAGCACCTTCATGATTCCGGTGCGGGGTGCCATTTTCCCGGAGATAGATCAGCGTGACGTGGCCGTCTTTTCAGTTAGGTCATCGTCATCATCTGTTGTGTTCCTTTTAAATCATTTTCTTCGGGAATCAAAAGATACAACCCATTGAACAAGCATTGACCCACGTTAACGATTGTACAGTGGTTTTGGATTGACTTCAACTCCCGTTTAAAAGGGCTCCCTACTTTTCCATGTGCGAGTTGTGAAGTAAAAGCTCCCTCGCTCAGGAAATGATGTCGATCCTGGGGTAATGGATTGGTGTTTTTCATTCGAGTCAACCAATTTTGCGCTTGACTTAAACATGAAATGTTCCACATGCTCGGGTGACTGACTTGAGTAAAAATTGGTCAAAGTGAAAGACACCAGTTCGTGCATGTACCCACACAGCACAGAGACATCCCAGGGATGTTCTCAGCTGGAAAACTTGTCCCAAAGTATTCATGGAAAATCTTAAAGACATCTATAGTCGACCGCTTTTTGATAGCTTGAAAGGATGGCTTCGGGACATCTTAGGGACGTCCTTCAGATATTTTTAGTCTTATTCTTCTGGATATCCCGGAAGGAATGTCTTTAAGGCATCCTGTAGTCATGTGCGCCAACACAGCACGGACATGTCCCAATGTCCTCCCCGTGATGTATGCTCAAATATGTTTTTAAAACATCATGCTAAAATAGGCAACATAGCAATACTTCTTTTGGTTTTCTCCATTATTCAAAAGGATTCATGTGGCATCCTCTTGCGAGATATCACGGGACGTGGCACATGACGTGCCGACCCGAAAGCTGATGTGGCCTGTAAAGGGTACGAATGAAACTCCCTACGGACATGCCCGACGGATGACCTGTGCACAGAAGATAGGGTTCAATTTCAGGTGTATGATAGGTCATGCGCCGTGTCAGCGGATGCGATTGGACACTTCCATAGCATCATGAAGTTTAGGAAAAATGATGAAGAAAATACCACATCAGAGAAAGCTTTTTCATATGAGAATGATCAATTCTGGAAAGGAAAAGATGCAGAATTTTAACATCCAGAATTCAGCAGTTCGGCTGCTACAGCGCTACCAGACATATTGACAGTGTCATTTGACGAAATCCAACCTTGCGGCAGTCAATGCATTTTTCGCATGCACGATGCTTTCTTTACCTTCGCCCGGTGCGCCCTCGGCTACCTCATTCCAGTTTTGCTGAGGGCCGAAATTTATCCACTCTCCCCAGTGTCGATTCTTTGGATTCAAAGTACAAAAATCCTAATTTCCCTAGGTACAACACTGACTAGAATAAAAGTGACTTGATAAAAGATCGGATGTCTTTAGGATGTCTCTTGAAGACCAAGGGACATGTTGAGGAGATACCCAGAATGTCTCCGTGCTTTGAGGCAAGGTAGATAGAATATATACAGGGTGTCCGGAAAAAAAAGTACACCATTATATATTTATGAGTTTCTCAGCAACCAGGAGACCAAACTGCCTAAAAATGTGAACAAATAGAGTTCAAATAGTCAGGAAACATGCCTCAAAATATTAGGCGAATCAGTTTGACCTGAACCTCATATAAATTAATGAAATTATCTCAAAATTAGACCAAACGGTTTTTATCACCTCAGTTTAAAAAAAAAAACAACAACAACCAATGCAAATAAGGAACAATCAGCGCATTAGTTTATCTTTGGAGGCGTTGAGCAAAGTCGTTGACAACTTTCCGAAGAGACTCAAATAGTGCATCGAAGCCGGAGGTGGCCACTTTGAAAACAAGTGATTCCACTGCGATCCCGAGATTGTAAACTGTCTTTGTTCTCACTGGTTGTAAAAATTTGGTCGTTTTCAATAAATTATTTCATTTTTTATTTTGTCCAGGCATTTTTGTCGCACGCTGTATTTTCCGATATATTTTTTATTTATTTAATAAGGGTATTTTTCACTAAATTGAGATGCTGAGTACTGTAAATTTACAGGGTAAAAGTTGTACTTACAAGCAAATTTGACAATGGTTACAAAATGACAAATTATGGATCATACGATACCAATCCGCCTGATATTTTAAGGAGTGTTACCTGACTAATTGAACTCTTTTTATCTCATTTTTTTTAAAAGGCAATTTGATCTCCTGGATGCCGAGAAACTCATATGTATATAGAGGTGTACTTTTTTCCGGGCACCCTGTATATATTCTATCTACCTCGCTTAGAGGGACCTATCTGCAACCTATGCGCAGAAGACAAGAATTCCAGGTGCATTTCTTTCATAGGAGATGTCTCCTGCGTGCCTTCATCACCAACCTCATGCCTTTGTTATCACTTTTATCTTGTAGATTTGTACTGAGGAGAAGCAATTTTCATATCGTTCATCAAAAAACTGACACGAAGGAAAGTTAAAAAAATTGGCGTCCTCATTTTAAGTTATTCGGTTATATTCTCGGTATTGATGCCTGATAGGCGTGTCTGGTCCAGTTGGAGATCTCAGTCCATGCTCCAGTCCATATACAGGGTGTTCTTTTTATCGCGGGCCCCGCTGTGACGGGCTGCTTAGCGGGCGATGTCTTGGCAACTGAGTACAGACGAGCGCCGATGTCATCCAGCTTTTCTTCAGTCAAAACATGCCTCGTACGAACTCTCTTCTTGTCTAGCAATGCTCCTGTTGTACGCAGTTTCGTAACTAGTCTCTGGATTGTCGATTTGCTTGGAACTGGAGGGCCAGGCAATTTTCGGCGGGACTTTGCTTTAAACTTTTTGTACGACTAGTACTTTTCGTACGTATCGTACGGGAAAACTCTCCGCTCAAGCGAATACTTCGCACGAAACCAACCGTTCTTCAACAGGGGTAGACTCAGACTGAAATAATAATGGGCGGATGGCAAGTTTGCTAGCGGGCACTGCGCTCTCAGCTGCCGAGACATTTGCTCTCTAAGCAGCCCGTCATAGCGGGGCCTGCGATAAATCGAACACTCTCTACAAGTAGCTTCAGAAAATTCGGAGGAAAAAGCTTGCAGAGACCGGTTTTCAGTCTGATCGCAATGACACTAGGTGGAAATGTTACTGACGTAGTTCCTAACCTGCTACAATGATGGCACTTCGAATGCTAACCGCTTTGCGGGAAATTGTGTGTGAAAGTGAGTAGATGCACCCAATCAGAAAGTAAAAGTGCATTCCGCGAACTTTTGAAGCTACTTGTAAAACCAGTAGCACACATTGGTCTGCTGTGGATCTTGAGTCAAGTCAAGGCATTCATTTTACTGCCTGTGATGCTAGCCATTGAAAGCGAGTACCTGACAACCGAGGTATCACGAACTAACAAAAGGCACCAACAAGACGTTCTCAACGCCATATTCCAGAATGTCTTCCTTTTCGTCGATGTGCACCGTCATACAGTCATCATGTCTTACTATAGGGTAAGCTTTTAAAATATGGGCAAATACTTCCCACTATTCCCATGTTTCTTGCAGGCTCTGAGTGGTCTTCCATATAGTTGTAGCATGGTGATCACATCATTTATCTTGTGAATCATCTGGAGGAGGAAGTTAATGTTGGATTGCATAGGATACAAAATTTAAACAAATCTGCTGGACTTATCTTCCATGATGCATGGCACAGTTCCAAGCATTGACATAATCGCAGAGACTAAGGCCTGAAAGCACAAACCTCATTTAAGGGAGGTAAAGGGGCCTTAAAGCTAAAGAGCTCTTTCCCCTCCCATAGTAATCCATGCATTCTTAAAGGACCACGAACTAAAGGAGGTTTTCATCATTCAGGCCAAAGATCCCATAAATGGAAAATACCTTTGCCTGAGTTGCATGTACAAGGGGTGACTCAAATGTCACACAATAGGCAAATTACAGTAAGCATTCAAATTGTTGGTCATCAACTCAGAAACACTTTTCAATTCACCATACACATTTGAACACTTCTTAACATGCTGATGCTTTTGTTAATTTTACAGCCATCATTTACCTGGAAAGAAAGAAAAGACTTAATATAGTCCAACAGTGAAATCCCCTATGGTATACAACTTTTGGGCCACCCTGTATACCTCCAAGCAGAATTGAGTGCCAGAGATGTGTCAATTTCAGCAGCACCAAATCAATGCAGAGAGCAACTATGTGAAAAACTCAACAGAAACAAATGAGTTGGATGTGTGAACTTTGGTCTCTACCATTGCCTGTTCAAGATAAGAATAAAAACACCAGTTTGAAGGGAGCACCAATGTCCAATCTCCATGGTCATTCTTTGCAGAAATCAAGCCCATCTTGAAGCCATCTGTACATCTTCAAAGAATAGAGCTTCTATCCATGAATTTTCCTCATGAATGTTCCATACAAAACTATCAAAAACTTACTATTCCCTTCCTGGACTTCCATTCAAGACAAATTAGAGACAAAGTATAGTCAAAAGCAAGTAAGGCTTTCATTAGACAGCATTTATTTAATTTAAAATATTTCACTTCCACCATGCATCTCAAGAGAAACAAGTTCTGCTCAATCAAGATGGTGAGATTAACTTCTTTCACTGTTTAAAACAAGAGAAAAAGTCTTCTCCTCATCACAGCACAAGAAAAGCTTTTCAAAACATTATGCAGGATTCCCAGATGTTATGACAATGAATAGATTGATGCCCATATGACTGATCGATGTTCAATTAATACCTACAGAAAACATACTTTGCTTTAGCATTGCATATGCATGCACAAAGATTGGATCAGATTCATGAAATGAAGTCTTGACCCCAGCAAAATATGGTACTGCAGAAGCTGACAAAAACTGACAGCCCATAAGTACTGCAATTAGTGCAATAAACTACACCAATCTAAGAGCATGGGATCATGAGTAGAAATAAGGAACCAAGATTTATGGAGCACCTAACCATAGGACCTTGAAAACCTGAGGTTTGCCAAGATCAGCAAGATGAAAAATCACAATCTTGAGATTTAAATCTATCACATATCTTGGTGGAGAGCAAACATTGTGAGAGGCATGAGATATTTCAATTGAAGCTGGTTGTCACCATCTCTGCCTTACAAAGCACAGAGCTACAAAGAAAAAATCTGGGTTGAAGAGGAAACAGAGATCACATAGGGGATCAACTGGATGGTGGCTTGGGTAAATCAGGTTCCACCGACTCAACATAGCCATTCCCGTTGGACACAAAACTTGTACCAAGTCCATATAGATGACCACAGTACTTGAAGTCATCAATGTTATCTTCAAAGAAGAGCTGCAAAATGAAAAAGAAATGTATATTAAGGAATAGAATCAACTGAGTCCTTGAAATAACAGCATATTCTACTCTTGTGATAATTTGAAGATCAAGTACTAAAGTATCAAGTTTCAAAGTAATGTAGGCCTTCCCATTTAGTTTAGGATATAACAGAGTTGTATTTCATAGCATTTACACAACCTTGTTGATGCATTCCACTAGAAAGTGATGTGTATATGGTGATTCAAAGATGTCAGGAGAATACAAAGAAGCAACAATACTTTTATCTATAGTTGTCATATGGCATTATTCAAGGCACTCATTCAATAGTAGATGGCATGTATATTGCTCATGGATTTATAAGCTGACCTCTCTCATCTTGAAAAATGCAGCACCAGTAAGAAGACTGTCAGAGCCTGCTTGATGCTGGGGACCAATTCTCTCCAACTCCAGCTGCTCAGCTACTTCCTGCAAGCCTCCCTTCAGGTTCCGGCATGACTTCATAAGATACTGGCAGAGAATGATCCAATGTGTACAATAATGTCAAACATTTCTCCAACTAGCCTTTAATGAATTAGATGAAAGTGCTCATTAATGATTACAGTCTGTATCACTCGTGATGGAAAGGAAGCTCATGCCTAACTGGCAATAACTGGAATTTCATTCAAATTTAGTGTTTAGCTTGAAATAGGGAAGCAGCCAGACATAACTGATGAATAGGAATAGGATTACCTTTGCAAGGATGCAATTTGCATTGAAAGCAGATTGCATAACTGACTAACACCAAGGATGAAAATGGTATACCAGGGAGGAAAAGGCAAATGGGAGTATGACAATCAACTTAAAATCTAGTCCAGAAAGGAAGAGGATGAGTCAAGAGTTTCTGATATGGGACTCTACACTCCTGCATATAGGCCTACCTTCACATCGTAAATGGTTGGGAAGTATATTCTAAGCAGCTCAAAGAATTCACTTTCTTCTGAGGGAAGGTTCTGATCTGTCAGCAGCTTGATGAGGTAGCCAAAATCATAACCACTGTGGAAGGATAACCATGATACATTTTCTGCTAGCACAACACCAGATGATAGAAGAAGAGCCGCAAAGTCCACGGGTTCAATTCCCTCCTCTTCATGCTTCTTGAACTGTATCCCAGAATGTTGAAGGAGATTTATACTGTCCTCTGCATACATATCTTCCCTAAAAGCATACAATACAAAATTAACAGGACCTGTTGACAACACTTGCATGTTGAAAGCCAAATTGCCATGCTCCACCTACGTTAGGTTGAACTTGAAATTGAACTGCCATGTAGAATAACCAGAAGGAGTCTTCCCATTATCATCAAGGAAGGTCAGTCCTAACTGAATTATCTTCAGCAAATCTACATTGCACTTGAGAAGCTGATATTGGTAATCAGAAGTGCTGCGGAACTCTCCAATAGGCCTTGCAACCACGCCAGGAAATTCAGTATCCTGAAAAAATTAAACATTTATATAAATTGTTTTTGCATTTCAAAAAAGTGCTGAAAAATGGCATACTTGAAATCAGAATTGCTTTTTATTCATGTACATGCTCCATCAGCTTAATGATCTTTGCTCCAAACAGGGCAATGAGCTCCACAAGCTGAAAAGAAGCTCCACTAACCATTGCAATGTAATTGTATCTGTTCACCAGCTTCCTGATGTGTTTAAATTCATCTTCCAAGTTGTTAGCCCATACCTCTCGTATTCCACAATTTTCATTCAATTTCATACGCTGACTGCTGACAATACCTAAAGAAAACAGTCAGACATTAAAATTCCTCAGTCTGTCAAGTGCAAGGAGAAAAGGTTTGAAGAATGATTAAATCTCACTTGTTGCAGAAGGCATGTCACTCACAGTTGCATCAACAGCTTCTTGCTCAGACTTTGAGAGTAATGAGCAATGCCCACCATAAATATGGGATATTCCTTCCTGTGTTGTCAACTGTACAGAACTTTGGTTTCAATCAATGCATGTAAATTCCAGTCATTCCAATCATGTCCTCCTCTGTAAGGCATCTCATAACCATTCAATTGCTCTTCACAAGCAGATAAGTTGTAATTGCCTGCAAGGGAAACATGTTGTCACACCTGCCTGGGAAGATAAGTGTGAAAAGCTATACTTACAATAATGTTTGGAAGCATATTAGGTATTTTGAAGTTGGGTCACATTGACTACATTGAGAGTCATAGTCAATTTGATTGCATATAAGCTCCTGTAATCACATTTGCAAAACTTATTTACTATCATATTAGATAAGCAATGAAAATAGACCTACCAGTACTGTGGGATGAAAGGCATTTTGCTATTGCATTGGACACAAGAAAGTTCGTCTGAGGTAAAAAGGTCACTAATAGGTCAAATCTTGTAAGATGAACTTGAAGTTTTTATGCTCTGTGAATCTCCTGGCCAGAAAAATTTCCCATAATCTTTTGAAGCATGTTGAACCACATCTCTACATTCTTGAATTTGACAATGATCTCCACTTGAATTTACAGCAACCTTACCCATCCAAATTTCAATATATCATCTTGGTTGCCACAATACAGATATTCAGCCTCTAAATGCATATCTAAATATTTTATTTAAAAAATAGAGCCTGTTTCACGGTGTTCGTGGCATGGAATTCTAAGACATAATATGAAAAAGAAAGGCCTATATTCGCACGGTGGGGCGTTTTTTAATTGGATATTATTGAACAACCCTACTGAATGGCCAATTGTCTTACACAGGTCTACGGCAAGAATTCATTTGAACCAGTGGTACATGCAGAAACTAACAGCTAAATCACTATAAGGGGGAAATGGTAATTGGGAAAATGATGACATCCAGAGCTCAGAGGCATGACAGCGCAGCAGGAATCTTATTACGCACAGACTCATGGTGCTGACTCCACCTGGCGGTCTCCATATTGGGTGACTGCTATTTCGAATCTCAACCTGTAGATGGCAGTCGCACTCTTGCCTCCATTGACTCCTCGACGGACAAGGCCCAATTGGCCAGACGTAACCTGAACCGCGGGACGTTTCGGGCCAAAAATTGTTCATTGACTGGATCGGGTCGATTCGGACCGAACTTTAAAAATCTAATTTCGTCATTATTTTTTCCTTATTTCCTTTGGGTTGGGAGCATAGATCATCTTGACTAAAACTTAATTTACGCATCCAATCTGTGAGAATGCGACTGGTTTAATGCGTAACAGTGAAGATAGGTACAGAAAAGTGAAAAGGCAGAGGCCGAGATGGGTGGCTGCATTGAGCCGCTGTCGTAAAGAAGTTGTCTCAGGAAATATGTAATAATATGTAATACTTTTGCAAGTTTGTAGATTGCCCTTTTTTCCCTTCAAATTTCCTGAAGGGAAAAAATACTAATTTTTTAAGTCATTTTAAATATAGCACAAAAATACCTTGGCCTTTTTGTTGTTTCTTATCTACCTGTCAAAGATGGTTGTCGGGTAAAAGAAAAAAAAAGTGTACAATTTCATCGCACTGTAGAAGAATCGTAAGAAAAGCGTACGAAAAACCTTTAAATATTCCTAAAAACAGAAGTTTAAGAGAACATCAAAACGGAGAACGTTTCCATTTTCCTCCTCAAGAGCTTTGGAGATATTAAAATTTGAGATTTAACCCAAGCAGCAGCGGAACGTTCGATGAATATTCAACTCTCGCCCTATTTCAGGTACAGCCAATGTGCAACAAACATCTTCAGAAACGTTCTTTGACTGTTCAGAAGTCTGAAATATATTGCAGAAGAACGTGCCTTCAACCCATCAAAGATGTGAATGGAATGTTCCCAAGCAGCACCAAAATGTTTTAAGGAACTTCCTCTTTTAAAGTTCGCCATTTAAATTTTTTTTAAGTAGAAATACGACCCTTCTCCCGTGCCAGAGGCCATCATGCAGCTGAGTTTCTCTAAGATTGGTAGTGATACGTTCTTTTATGGAGGAAGTTTTATTTCCAAATTTATTAAAGTTTGTACTTCCTTTACCGGAACATAACTGCTTATGATATCAACTCAGTGGTTCATTTCCCGCCCCGGAAGTACTTGTCAGAGTAGATCCTTTGAATGGAGTCTTTCATCACATACGCATGAACTTCTTGAGGGGAAAGATACGTCCTGCAAAAGGTCCGCTTTCGGAGCATTGATACGCACTATCAGGTACTCTACCTACGGGTATCTCATGAAGCCAGATGGGAAGTTGAACCATCCTCCCTTTATCCTCCCTCCATCCTCCATCCATCCTCCTTCCACCCTCCTTCCACCGGATATTCATATAACTTCTTGTTTCATCTCTTCCTTCCCGAAGAATCTCTTCAAAAACCTTAGTCTAAAGACTGTGACATGTCTTCATGAAAGACACCGAGTATCAGACTTTACCATAGCCTACATAAACGGATAAACAAAAACAAAAAATCAGGGGCCATTGGACCCAGAACGGTAATTACAGGGTTAAATTCGCATGTGAAAGAAAATCATTCTGCGCAATTACGAATTTCAACCTCGCGCTGCAAAATGTTATTGCATAAAAACTATTTGTCATATTTTCTTGAAATAAAGTGCAATAATCAGAGAATGGTGGTACAAATGATCCTGAATAGTATGAATGTCATATTAGGTATGCAGCAAGCAAATGGAAAAGCGCGAGCTTTCTTTACCCACCTTTTATATTGCTTTCGAGTTGAATTCGTGCACTTTGTAATAGCTCCGCCTGTACAGGGGTGAGAATAGGCAGTAGAAAAGGTTTGCGGCTGCACTTTAATTACGGGTCTATGCAATCTAAAAACATTACCTGAGAACCCATAAGTAGTGACGTAAAGGATTCATGAATTGCATGGAATCACGATTAGCCAAGAAAATCTAACCGACAGGTGACTACTACTGGGAAAAAGTCTGGCGACGCGGTGCCCTAATCTATTTTCCGGCAGGGAAAAATCTTGAAAACAGGCACGCCAGTTTTTATTATTATTATAATAATAGCATTTTTCTCCTCTTCCTCGAGCGAAGGCTGCTTTATCTTCACCTTGGAATATATTTTCGATGGATCATGACGGTGTACCCATTTCAAACTTCTCAGCCCCCCCCAAACACGATGGAAAATGTCTTGAAATCTTGTCTACCCTAAGTGTCTCAAATCTGCATCGCTCGATGGTCGCATAAGAAACACTCTCCTCGTGCTACAGCCTCTCTGGAAGTAGCAGAAGGTATCTCAGGGTATATATAGGCTGCTTCACACAATGATCCGCTTGCGGAAAGATGCACGAGATGCAAATGCGTCCTGGTGTGTTCTGGAAATCACCCGTGCATCTCATCTCACTGCAGCCAATGGGAAGAAAGCATGTCAACGATTATCCCTGTCTCGGCTAAGAAAAACCTTTTTTTCCCCTCCTACTCCAACCCCCAGCTCTAGGGCCACAAAAAAAGGTTTTTCTTAACTGAGACAGGGATAATCGTCCGTCAGGGTGTGCATGACATCTATTGGAGGAATCATCCGCCGGGAATAGGCGGAATTTCGGAAAGACCACCAACGATCGGCTCTCGAGGCTCACCTTTTCTGCTTGAAGGTGAGACTCAGAAAAGAGCCCAAGAAAGTAGGTAAAGCAACGAACTAATGCCCTCAGCCATCGGCGTTCGCAGGATTTCATCGAGGGGTAGGCCCATTCTTGGTACTCCGACTCGATACGACGCACTTCTTGCTGGAGCTAAACTAGCTTCGTTTGTGTATGGCTGGAATTGTACGTATTTTACGAGTGGAGTATGTTACGAGGTACATTACTGTAGAGCCCATTGATGCATTTCAATTTCATGAAACTACAGGGTGGCCCAAAAATACGTACGATTTTGAAAAATCAAATTTTTGGTGGACCACTTCTCGATGCGACTCAAGCTCTGCATCGATGCGGGAGGTGGTCATTTTGAGCAAAAATGTTTATTTTGATGATGTGGGTTGTATAGATGTTTATTTCACCAATTGTTTATAAGAATGTTTGATATTTTGAATAAAGGATTTGATTTTTAGAAATCGTACGTATTTTTGGGCCACCCTGTATACCACGGATATATGCACACTAAAAGTTCCAAGAGGTCTCGGATTCGTTGGCTGTCTTTCTAGGCAACTACTTGACTAATTTACCAATCAATCTGCTTGTTTACCCGATTGTACCGAACGCAAGTGCTGAACGCTACCCTAATTAGCTTGGAGGCATGCAATCATTCGAAACAGGAAGGACCTGACTTTCGTTGACCCCATTTCACAGTCCTTTCAATTATCAACTCGACGAGAAACTAATATCTCAATTGACAGAGCAATTAAGATCTCTATAAAGTACATGTTTCCCTTATCTTCCCCTTCATGAGTGGTTCCAATCTATGGGTCGCGACTCACTCCTGGGTCGATGTAGGGTTTTCTTTTCTCTTCTAGGAACGTACAGTACATCTACTCCCTTTCCCTACTGCTAAGGCCCTGGTACAGTTGGTTCGAGAACTCGCCAGCGAGAGGGCGAGTGTGGTGTTAAGCGGTTTCTCGCTGGTGAGGATCTTCCGTTTACTCGCCTCGAACTGGCATTCATCTACAGGGTGTCCATAAAGTGACTACCTATGGGCAACTTTTTTCATACTAAATCTGGGGGAACCAGCTTTTTTTATTTTTGTAGGCTGTTTATCATTAGTCCTCGGAATGATGTCACATCTTATGTTCCTACACTCTAATGTGACTGAGAATTTATTTACCAAACCCTTGTTTCAATTAAAAGTTCAGACATGGAGTACAGCATTCCGAATTATTAGCCAAGGCAAATGCCCTCCACGATCTCTGGATTTTCACTCCTGGGGATTTTTTTTCTCTGGAGCTACTTAAAAGGCATTGTTTAGAAGGACAAGCCCACAGACTTGAAAAACCTGAAAGAGAGTATGTGCCAGAAAAGTGATGGAATTCTCATGGATGTGGCCGACAATACAATTGCCAGGGCTCAAAAATGTCTGGAAATCGGCGGTCGACACATTGACATGTACTGTACATTCCTAATTTTTATTTTTTTGAATTCCCTAAACGCTCTATTATTCAATCCATACCGTGATAACTTCAAGAAGTTGTTGCAATAAGGTCCAACGGCAAAATTTCCCTAGACTCGTTTCTGAATTTCTCCTCCATTCAAATGAATACAAAAAATCATAAAACACCAGATGAAGGAAATTAATTCTCGGCCGTGCCAATGTGGAAGGGGAAAAGATCTGACACTATTCCGAGGTCGGTACGTTGTCAGTCTACAAAAGTTTTAAAAAAGGCAACTTCAGGATCTATAATAAAGAAGTCACTTTATGGACACCCTGTATTTCATTAATCGGGGATTTTTTTTTCTTTGAGCGCCAATGCACAGATTTGAAATATGAAATGCTCACGCCTTTGACGCTCGACGAGGTAAGTAAATCGATTAACTAACCTGAAAAGTGCGCCTTCGGCGATCACACCAAAGCCCGTAAAACTGCATGGATTTCAGGCATTTTTCATTGTGTCTCCCAACTTGAGGTTAGCAATATTTAATAAATAGCTGACTTCCCTCAAAGAACCCCAAAGTAACATCAATA